AGAGAGAGAGAGAGAGAGAGAGAGAGAGAGAGAGAGAGAGAGAGAGAGAGAGAGAGAGAGTAATCAGGGGGAGCATTGAATGCTTATATATTATATATTCCCGCCTCGCTCACGCCATTAGCCATTTAATGAGGAAGAATTTGATTATGACAAATGTTGCAGTAAACGGAATGGTATAGATCGAACCAAGCCTCCCATTAGTAACGATCATTTATACATTACTTTACAAATCGAGTTAAGCTAGCCGAAGTGTGCGTGCGTGAGCGCGTGAATGTGCTTGTGTGCGTGCGTGTGTGATTGAGTGAACGTGAATCAATGTGTGCGTGTTTTATTTGCACTAGTGTGGTGCGCGTGTGTGAGCGCAGTGGTTGAGCCACCGAGAAATGGACACAGCGTGGGACGTATGGGAATGAATAAAGTACGAACGAAACTAAAACATTAGCGAACTGATTACATGTAGCGAGGAATCTTTCGCAACTAAAGCTGCCGGGTTTTCTGAATTTTCTTCTGGCTTTTTGAGGCGAGCAGCACTCGATCCACTCCCACGCGCGGTGAACACGTTTTCCCTATCTTCTTGTTTGTAGAATTGCTGGCATATATATAAATATTTATTTATTTGTTTATTGATTTGTATATATATGTGTGTATGTGCATGTGCGTGTGCCTGTGCGTGTGCGTGCGCGTATGCGTCTGCGGATGCGTTTGCGTTTCGTGTGCGTGTGTGTGTGCAGATAATCCTGGTAACTAACAATACACAAGTGTGTTCTATGCTTAGGCATTATTTTGACAATACACTGTGTATTGTCAGCGAGCTTTCAACAATACACTGTGTATTGTTGAACACCTTCTAACAATACACAACGCACACACACACACACACACACACACACACACAACCAGGGCGTGTGGCGTGTGTGCTGCGTTTCCATCACGTGTAATTGATCGTTTGAAGTCTTCGGCGTTTTTCTCGATCATCAGCCTCCGTTGATACACCGAAGCTGCCGCTGCCGCTGGCAAACCATTGATGCTCGCGCGTACACGGCTTCTATCGCATCGACTGATAGCCCTACGCGAGCTGCGCATCACTGCTACTCTACCACTCCCACCGCTATTCCAGCGTGCGTTGTTTCGTCATTGGATCTTGCTCGGTGCAATTTCTCTGCGCCCGAGTATTATCGATTTTGTTTAATTAAAGTTATTTAATTTAAATAAATGAAATTAGTTTAAGGAGAATAATCGAATAAATATTAAGGTAATTATTTAAATAAATTAGATGGCTCGATGCACGCTAGCTTCTATTACTGATCTATAATCAATTATAGAACATATATTATTGATTAATATTAGGATTATTAAATCTGCTAAAAATGATACGATATATAACTATAGGAAACTGATCGATTGTCGTAGATATATTGATTATTTCAAACACTATATTTGTCGCATAAACCAGGGGGCTCAGAAACATTATGAATTGTTATGACGTCGTAAGATTGAAATGTCATAACTTTTAAACGGAAGTGTCATTTATGATAGATTTGTCAACGTACCCCTGGGGTATATAGCCACGAAAGGATGAAGAAGAAGATATAGACGCATAGGCCGATATAATAATTATCATTAGGACTGTCAATTTCAATTAAGCTTGGGGATTAAATTACACACAAACGCGAAATCGCCAGTGGGTGTGACGTGCCAGTCAGTGAAAGCAATTAAATTCTTCAGCTAGCAGCTGCTAGCTGTACTTGTTAAGTTTGCGAAAACATGTTCCCGTATCGTGTTGACCGCGCGTATGTCGTGTTATATACCAAGGCTATATAGCGGGAGAGAATTTTCGCTTAAATTATTCACTCGCTCATTACGGCTGCGAACATTGACTTCAGAAATGATGAGAGAGATGTAGATTCACATGTTTTTTTAGGTATCGATTCTTCGCCTAGGCCGCGATTAGGTTTAGATCATACTCATTGCCTGTGGTGGTGGTGGTGGTGGTGGTGGTGGTGGTGGCGTATGTGTGGATGTGTATGTGTATATGTAATAAATTATTACATATATACACGTTTGCGTATTCAGCGTTGCGCGTTCTCGTTTGTTTTCTTTCTCTGAAAAATAAACAATTTAACTTATAGTTATATTGATAGTTTAATTTCAAGTTGAATTTTCTCGTGACTTTCTCATCTCGAAGGGCTTTCTCGTATCGCAGGTGAAGGTGTGGTTTCAGAATCGGCGAACCAAATACAAGCGAGACAAGATGCGAGATGCAGAGGTTCAGCAAAGCAATCGCGTCGACAACTATGCCGCCAACAACATCCTTAAGTTTCTGCACCAAGCGCCAACGGCCTTAACCTGCTCCTTCCCACCCGTCCCCTACCCGTCCCCATCCTTCCAGCTTAACCCAAAGTTCTGATTCCGCCGAGCGAAAAGGAGAGAATAATTATTTGTACATAATTAAAAATTATTGCGCAACGTCCGTGTGTGTTTTTTTTCGCCTGAATAAATGGCCTAGTCGAATCGTGGCGTTATTTCTAAGCTACTGTATGATAACTAATGATGTGGGTATATTATGAGATGATGAAGGTTTGTGTCAAAGCAGACGTATCGACTGCGATAAAATGCTACTCTGTTTACAATCGTCATCATCATGTAGACATAGTTCGGTGTCCTTCCCTAAGCACATTAGTTTAGCTTAATAGTCAATTGTGAAAATACACATAGGCCTACACGCGTACGGGCCCGTTAACAGGACGGTTAAAAGATTAAAAACCCAACCTTTTTGTATTGTTATTAAAACCACTATGGATACATACAATTCTGAATTAGTTACGGTTCTAATTAAATACTACTGGTGTTTTACTCGCGTTGTGAATTCAGTCACGGCCCCCTATCATAGCAATTCGTGTCAAATTGTTGTCATACTACTGTGTAATATAATTACTATGGTATCTCTATCTATATGTGTATATCTGTGTCTCGACAATAAACAATGGAATAAATAAACCCCTAAATTGTTACTTATATTTATATTTATATTTATATTTATATTTATATTTACATTTACATTTACATTTACATTTACATTTACATTTACATTTACATTTACATTTATATTTATATTTATATTTATATTTATGTTTATATTTATATTATATTATATATACGAATAATTTTAAATGTTTTTTTTCTTGCTAAAGGCAATGAGAACAGATATCAAAATAATCTGTCTGTAACAAATGTGTAAAGTGCTACGGCTGCCATATTTCGAAAATGCTCACATCGTTATAAGCGTGTTGTAAGATTATGAAGTATAGTATATATTCCTATATGCTTATTAGTATAGGAATAGAAGTACTAATAACAATAAATCGGCTGCAATAACGCATTCACGTGCGCGTTATAAACGGTAATTATAACTACAGGCATAAAATATTACAAATGCCACGGCGACATAGGAATCGAAGTGGTTGGAGTAGAAATCCAGTGAGAAGGCAGTTAGCGAAACTTCCTACTGCAATTGCCCTTCATCTCCTAACTTTATCTGTCAGCGTTCAGAAAGGTTTAGATGCGTTTAGGAAGCTACCTCTGTCTATTCTCTGTCTATATACGTAGTTGGGTCATTACGACACACCGCCGCGGGGGATCGGTCGAACACCCGCTCTTACAAGGCTACTAAGCTGAGAGTCACCAGCCAATTAGTCGCAACCTTCTCCCCTTTATCTAAGGAGCCACGGACGACTTGGATTTAGAGGGGAGGGGAGAATTCACGAGGCTAGCACCGTAACTATATAGCGTTCTGATAGTTAAGCACCGAAGACATGACTTCTCCATTGTCTGCGCGAATAAGAAGGAAGAGTAAAGGTAAGGAAGTGAAAAGTAGAGAGATATTGTTTCCCTTACACAAGGAGAGGGTCTACTCTTCGAACAAGGAACTTTCTCCATATCAGACGAAACTCATAGGATCAGCACGTATAGGGGGTCCATCAATTAGCAAAAATATTAATTATTAACAAACTATTTAGAGACGCAACACGCGGTGCGATGACATCAGTTGATGATTCACGAAACGGTAAAACATTCAATCATGTTAACGATGGAAAATTGTATCAGCAAAGTTGGTGTCATTGTCCATACTTCGTCACAGAGAGAGAGAGAGAGAGAGAGAGAGAGAGAGAGAGAGAGAGAGAGAGAGAGAGAGAGAGACTACGATAAAAATTGAATTAGAGTGATTCTCGATTAGTATTCACTTTCAGAGAATGAATAAATATCTAAGGTTGCAGGCAGTGTTAGAAATAGGCGTAAATATAATATTTATGAGTCAGGGGCGCGCGGCACGCACACACCGTTATGCCGCCACAGCGCCATCTGCGGGCCGTGAATGTTATAAATTTAACCTAATAACTTTGCCCGACATCATCAGTTCGTATTCATGATTAAATGGCTGTATGACAGTATTTTACGAATGCAATATGGTTGCTTATAGTAATAGTGCATAATATTTTGTAGTGAAGGTTGGTCACATGCATCAAGGTCATAGCTTACTGGTTTCGCTTAGAGGTACAAAGCCATGGGCGGTTTACGTCCTGGTTATTTGACCGAGAGCAGTTCTCTGATAGATGAGAAACTGTGATAATGACCTTGGCCTATTATCTTTGGTTCGCCGTTCCTCCTGTCAAGGTCTAATAAGGCAATAATTTCTTCTGCCCCCCCCAGCGAGCTAACGTGAGTTAGATGATAGGGAACAAACGTGTTTGTAAACCTTGAAATCTTCCAGACATCCGCACAGCGAGCTATATAGATGATAGGGTAAGACGTGTTTGCGTGCATGACTACAATCTACTAACAGCGATCACACTTTGTCGGAAATATGCATTTAAAAAGGAGATGACATATTCGAAAATGCTTTTCTATGAAAAAAAATGCTACATGCACTACTACCTCTCTCGTGTATTAAGAGGGAGCCCAGTATTATCAACATCCCGTACATTTATCGTTGACGGTTGTCGACGTTGGTTTCGCCCGGGTAAGAAGTTGTGTATGATGCCAAACGAAATATATTATTTGAATAAATTTGTTGAAATTATATACCTATAGTGAGCACACTTACTAAGGAGTAGTTAGATGTAAAAAATATTGACGGTAATCACTCACGTTGTTAATTATAAGGCAGCAATCATCCAAACCTCATTACATTACGTGTGAGAGATTACAGCTACAGACGTGTCCGCGCGCGTGCCTACTATCTGCCAATACAAATCAGATTTTGTTAGGCTTATGCATAGAAACAAGGAGAGGACAGACACAGGAATACATATATTAAAAAAATCTTAAATGCCCTACTTTTCTAATGTTATAATAGGAAGGAGCTTAATCTTCTCTACATCCCGACTCCTTATATTTTTCGCTGGCGTTGGATGGCGCTAGTGTCGCGCATGGAAAGTGGTGAATGATGATGCTAAACGAAATATTTTAATATATAACTTTGTTTAAATTATATACATTTTGTGAGCACATACTCAGAAGTAGGTTGATATGAAATAAGTTGAGCGAGCTGATTCAGGTTAGGAATTATGAGCCGGAAAATTTCCCAAACCTCCTTACCACGATCTTTTTTAGATCATATTTAGATCATATTTAGATCATATTTAGATCTTATTTAGATCATAGTATCAGACGTGTCTGCGTGCGCATGCTTACTGTCTGTCAACAGAAGTCCGATTTTTGTAATTAAAACGGAGTGGACATATTACGAAACCGGATATTATAAACATATGCATTGCCTCACTTGTATAATGGGAGGGCACCCAATCTTTCCAATATCTCGAGCCTCTGCATTTTTTCGTTGCCGTTGGTCGGCGCTAGTGTCGCGCATAAGTAGTGTATTATGCTACAGAAAAATTAATATATTCATATAAATAATTTTCCTGAAATTATACACATGTAGTGAGCACCTGCTCGTGGATACCTAGATGTGAAGAATATTGATCCCAATAATTCGCTTAATCAACTATATTGCAACAAATATTTCAGACACGCTGAGAAATTATGGAACAGACATGCCTGAGCGCATGATTACTATTCACTAACGGAAAATAGTATAATTTACTACGAACGTAGTAGTTAGATATGAAACATGTTCATCCCAATGACTCACTCCAGTAATTATAGGCGTAGAAAAACTTTCAAACGTTTTTAGAACAGGCGATGCATGATAGAATGAGATGTGTCCTCTACTCATGCCCACTATTTCCTAAAGAAAACCTCGTTTTGTTGTTTTTTTGCTAGAATTATGTGTTAAAGAAATACGAGGACATACACATGAACAGGTTGTGTAAATATGTGAAACGCAATGTGTCTCTTACGTAATCACATTCAGCTTTATCTTCTCAACATCCCGCTTCCGTACATCTTTTTTTGCCGTTGGGCGGCGCTAGTGTCGCGCATGCGTGCATAGCAGTATGTATGTTAATCAAAAGTACATAATTAAGATCAGAAGCGATTAAAAGAGAATTAATTCGCGGCCGTTTCCCCACACTCGAAAAAGCAGTGAAACTTGCTATCAGAGAGGCATCTATCGACCAAGAAGTAAGAATAGTACATCTCTACATCTCTATATCTCTACATCTCATACATCTCTATTATGTACTCTTGATGTTAATATATGCGAGTAAGTGTAAAAGGAGTGCTTGTTGGACGAGTTAAAAGCAAGGTATATCAAGTAATAGGGTGGAGCCGTGGAGATGTCGATGAATGGACTTTGAAGTTAATAAAAAAAGTGGAAATTGCGGATTACTAGATGTGCGATAAAAGAAGATAGAGCCAGCAGACAAATACAGATTGTGGAGGGTTAACTTATCAATAGATTATAACAATAAGTTTGAAAAATGCGACTAAACTATGCGACGTGTATGATTATATCAGGAGTAAGATAATATAGGATCTAATCCTATATTATCTTACTCCTGATTATATGACGGGCATTCAAACCCCCATGATAAAGCTGGCCTGAAGATTAGAAGGCTCATTCACAGTCAGCATGACAATGGCTATATATATGTCAGCATATCATATCACATCATATCATATATATATATATATGGCATAGTATATAATTATACTGTGTGTGTGTGTGTGTGCTGTGTGTGTGTGTGTGGGTGTGTGTGTGTGTGTGTGTGTGTGTGTGTGTGTGTGTGTGTGTGTGTGTGTGTGTGTGTGTGTGTGTCAGCATGATAGTAAGCTAGAACACACTCAGCATGACTATGACATTTTTTGAGTTACACAATATGGCAAGCAAAACATAATGCCATGTTCCCTTCACAAATCTTTTACTGTCACTCATCTAAAATATTAAAAATAACTCAAAAATATTAAAAGCAAAAATTTGGGTAGTTACTATAAGAAGACGCTTGCGCGGGTAACCGTTTCCCGGAAGGAATTGGAATCGAGCTTTTCAAGCTTACATGACAACGAAATAATCCACTGGTCTGGATTCATATGCATATAAATCAGGAGTGGACGAAACATGTTTAATAAACATAAGGTTTTCTCGGTTCATACAATGCCCCTCGCCAATAATCGAATTAAATATATAATAATATACAATCATATATATATATATATATATATTATATACATATAATGTCTTGAACGATTATCTTCAGCGTCGTACACGTGCATGCACACACACACACAACGCACACACGTACACACACACAACACGCACACGCACACAGCACACACGCACACGCACGAACGCACACACGCACACACGCACACACGTACACGCACACGCACACGCACACGCACACACACACACACACACACAATGAAATGGCGTTTATGGTATGGTCGCAGTTGTGATGTACAATCCTTGCGTTGTGTTCTTGATTCGTCCGTGGATGTGTGATCGTATTAATGTCTTAGTTTATAAACCAATTCGTTGTTCGTTTCGTGTTGCGTTTCCGCTTGAAGGTGTCAGCTGCTCTTCTCTTC